AACTAACTACTAGTACGTTAAGTTAACGTTAACGTTAACGTTAACGTACGTAACGTAACGTAACTACTAACTACTACGTAGGTACGTACCCCGTACCCCCGGTACCCCCCCCCCCCCCCCCCCGGAGTCCAAGCCATAATCAACACCATTTGGGTAAACTTGTGGACGGTATTGTGGCAATTCAATCCAGGGCTTGGTACGATTACCTTCTGTGCCGAATAAGTGGGACCAATCCTCGTAGGTGAAACTGTTAGTAGGGAAAATATTATTTATTTCAAAAATGGCAAGTATGTATGTTATAATGTATGAACATATGGTATGGCTCTCATAGTCGCTGTAGTGGTTCAGGAAAGATTGATGGGAAGAAGTGGTCAGTAAATTCCCATTTGAAGCTTGGGCCAAGTGAGTTGACAATGAAAGATATGTCCTGAGTCAATTCGGGTCGGTGTTGACAAAACACTGTTACTATCGAATGTTCCATATATTTGCTTGCTGACCTACTAATTAGAGTACCCACCTCTGTGGTACGGATCGGGTCTGCGCCTTGTAGTGCGGCGGAATGGGATAGTGCAGAGTACGAAATACCAAGAAGGACCAGGTTATCCGTCATAATCCGGTTGAGGAGCGAGGATTGGGGTAAGCCAATGCCGCACTAGACCACGGATGAATTGGGTATGTGTTGGCTGGCCTGGATCGGAAGTATCATAATCGGAACCAACAAGCGCAATGATTTGGTTTGAACCGAAATTTGGAAGTAGTACTTCAACAGCGTGATTAGCCGGGGTATGGGGAACATCTGTCGATGTGTCAGGGACGGTTGAGGGTACGGTGGTTCTTCAACATGCTGGAGAAAAGATCCAAGGTGTTCGTGGAGGGTCCAGATACTGTGGAAGTCGTGGTACTCCTGTAATTGCTGAAGGAGGTCAGGGCCAATGGGCGGCAGTTTTCGGGCATACCAGGATGCGCCGAATTAGTTGTTGGATGCAGGTAAAGTGGCTGGTAGTGAACTTGTGGCTACCGGGGCAGACAGGGCAGTGACAGCCGTCGGTGCGGTAGTCGAGCAATGTGAACATGTACGTATTCGTTACAATCATAGCATAGAGCCGGATTGATGTAGACTCGAATCAGCGATTGAAGCTGTTGTGTCTGGCTGTGTCTCGGTTTGAGGTTGGCGGTTTACCCATAACCAGTTGGTAGTAGTATTGGCGCCGGGCCATTGCCGCGATCTCCTTGTTGGACCAACGTTTTGTTGAGTTCTTCCTGATGTCGTCATAGCGTTGGCGGAGGGCTACATGGTCGGGTGTATGCCCGCCCGTGGTTTTGTGTACAGTTTTCAGGTGAGCATATATACTGTACGGGAAGCGCAGTGATGGTCTATCTTGGGCCCAGGCGGATTGCGTCAGAGGGGTAAGTGGATTTTTGCTGGCCATTGAGTCGAGTTGTATTCCCAGGCAACCTCCGAGGTAGTCCACGAATGGTCGCGTGGGGAGCAGGCCGCTAAAGTGAAGTAAGTTTGTTTGATGTTTGGGAAACCGAGGGGATTTAGTGCCCGTGATGATGGCTGCTGTTTGGATGAGTGCTGAGTTAAAGCGCTCGAATAGGGGGTCCAACGCATCTTTCCATATAGGTGGAGCCCAAGCAATAATATTCAGCCCATATGTAGCCGTGGATAGGATGAATGTTTTGAACATCACCAGTCGGTTGCGGTGGGTGTCGCCAGCTGAAGCCAAGGAAGCCATAAGCGCGGAAAAAGGCGATACCCAGTGACAATGCTGCAACCAGGGATTCCATATGTCTGGCGAGGTTTATTCCTGGTACTCCGTGAGAGAGTGGGAACCCCAGGTATTTGGAGTGTTTCGGTTCGGCATGTGTGGGCGCCATCTTCAGGGGGAGGTAACGTGTGTTCCAAGGTGCGTCTGCAAGCGTCGGCGTGATAAGCTCACCATTTATACGGAGGGTTGGCCATTTATATGGAGAGTTGGCCATTTATACGGAGGGTTGGCCATTTATACGGAGGGTTGGCCATTTATACGGAGGGTTGGAAAATTATTCGCGAACCGGGAACAAGTGTGAGTGACATGATTATATACATAAAGTATCATTTCAAATCGATATTGTTGGAGTACACACACATTATACACAAGGCTAGCCGGACCGTGATCAACGTTAAGTAAAACAAAATACTTTCCTCCAGAGTCCTGAGTCCTGAGGCCTGACTCCTGAGTCCTGACTTTGCATAAATACACTTTGGGATTCTTTATTGAATTTGATTTGTACAGCATAAATAATAATAAAAATGTACAGTAACCAATTGTACCAATGAAAGTACTCGTATTTTTGTGTTTTATATTGCATTCTTAAATTATTCATATTTTAAAACTTTGACCCATTTCTAAAATAACCCAAAAATTGTACAAATCTATTCTGCTAAATACCCCATTGACTCACGACCATTTCTCTGTTTTAAAAAAAAATCAAAATCAAATTTCTAATATAGAAAAGTAACAGAAAAAAAGACTGAAGTTCTACCCCAACAATGATTTGTTTTTTTTTACAAACATACCCGTTCTCTGGTGGACAGGAGGGACTACATAAACGATTGTGAAATATTTTTGTAAGAAATTAATAGAAAGAGTAAAACATGGTGAGGTGTTTTATTTTAAAAAAGACAAATCTTTTAGATCTATTTTTAAAAAAAGAGCCCTTTCTTGGAAAATATTTACTCCCATACAAATGACTCAAAAACCTTTTCCGATGGGGATTGTATGATTAACCCGCCATCAAACATATCAATCAATCGAAGGGTAGGGAACTTAAGTTCAGGCATTTTAAAGACTTTTTCTAGTTGGAAGTAATAACGTAGCTATCTTAGTTCAAAAGTTAGATTTTAAAGGTGAAATTAACACCTGAACACTATTTTCAACGTGATTTGTGGAGAAAAAATAAGAATCACAAAATGGAGCCACAGCGTAGCCAATACGTAGCCACTGAGTAGCCACTGCGTAGCCACCGCGTAGTCAGCTCTCGATTGACTTCATAGACATCTTCATAGAGACATAGACATCGTACTAGCTTGAGTAGTGCCTTCAAGGTACCGACGTTCATGTATCAAAACCCACTTTCAATTGGTAGTAAATATGACCCTGTTCAATCATATGCTGGATTAAATCACCATTTCTCATCGGAAAGAAAAACGGTGAAAATTCAAGAAAGGTGGCTTTTTTTTTAAATATCGGTCCCTATTTTAATCTATTAAAATTTGTCTATACGACACCCGCGCAAAGTTAGGGTCGAAATTTATATGTAGGGCGACTTTGGCCCAAGTACCGAACTATTAAGCGTGTACATTTAGTCAAGTATCAGTTTTCGGTACATAATCTACACCTATCACCTGAAATAGAATACAACGCCTCAGACTAGAAAGAGAGTCAATGTTCTGTTAATCTTGTGAGCGTGAATTCGTGGATCCATACTTCTGAATATTATAAAAAATGTATCGTTCCATAGCCTACTTCTTATATACAAGAGAAGGCTATTAATATGTAAATATGATCGTGGTAGTTCAACAATGTTGAATTTTGGTTTTGTCTCATTCTGTTGTAAAATAAAAATTTCAGGTCCAAAGGATTTTGTCCTGTTCTGTGATTTCATTAATAACCATATTTTTGTCAGAATATAAAATCGAAAAATAATCACTTGGTTCACATAGGAATACAAGGTCTCGGGCGTTAATAATTTTATAGTCACAGGTGCGGTATAGACACAATTTATTTGTTCAAGACTCATTTTGTGTTTTTTTTAAAGAGTTTACAAAAAAAAACACAAAGTCAAGGTGTGTGTATGATTGTATGTACTATTTGTTTTTTAACCCAAATTGAAGGCAAAGATGTTTCTTTAAAATATGTAAATACTCTCTATGTACTTCGTTTTATAATCTAGCTGAAATCCAATAATAATTGATGCGTTTTACAATTTAAGACCACCTTCTGCGAGAAAAAAATACTCCGGTACAAATTGACCCAACTTCAAGCTACGAATCGGAACGTTATGTTAATGTGGCATCGCAAATTATGACCAATGTGAATGCGGAAATGGAAAGAGGAGGTACATTAAAGGAGATCGCCAGTTGGATGTACATATGTACCGTGCTTAGTTCGGAAGTTAGCAGTACTCGATCGATTCCAACCGTCGTCGATTCTGTCGTAAAAATAGAACCTAAATAAATGAATAACCCTGAAAACTCCAATATGGCGCCCTTTTTTGTTGTTGATTTTTGTTCAATTTTCAGGCCTGGGCCCACGATAAACCATCACTGCGATTCCCGTACAGTATCTATGCTCACCTGAAAACTGTACACAAAACCATGGGCGGGCGTACACCCGACCATGTAGCCCTCCGCCAACGCTGTGACGACATCAGGAAGAACTCAATAAAACGTTGGTCCAACAAGGAGATCGCGGCAATGGCCCGGCGCCAATACTACTACCAACTGGTTATGGGTAAACCGCCAACCTCAAACCGAGACACAGCCAGACACAACAGCTTCAATCGCTGCTTCGAGTCTACACCAATCCGGCTCTGTGCTATGATTGTAACGAATACGTACATGTTCACATTGCTCGACTACCGCACCGACGGCTGTTTCTGCCCTGTCTGCCCCGGTAGCCACAAGTTCACTACCAGCCACTTTACCTACATCCAACAACTAATTCGGCGCATCCTGGTATGCCCGAAAACTGCCGCCCATTGGCCCTGACCTCCTTCAGCAATTACAGGAGTACCACGACTTCCACAGTATCTGGACCCTCCACGAACACCTTGGATCTTTTCTCCAGCATGTTGAAAAACCACCGTACCCTCAACCGTCCCTGACACATC